CGGAGGGGCGCCCCTCAGCGCTGCGGGGGCGCTGCCTGCATCCCCGCGGCGGGCTGGGCTCTCCAGGGCGGTGGAAGGGTCGGGAGAAGCGCCTTCCTCGGGGAGCATTCGCCAGGGTCTGTGACTCATCAGGGACATCCACCGGCTCAGACCGCGGCCTGTGTCACAGCTTCCTGGGGGCGCTCTCCCACCTGGGCAAGGAGCGGGAGACGGAGTTAGAGCTTGCAAGCTGCGAATAGCGCATTTAATCCCGGGCATTCTAGACTGGAGTGGGGAGAAGAGGGGGTCACTCAGCTACCATCAGGGACAGGTTTGCTGTTCACAAGCACTGTAACTCTTGCTAAGTAACCCAGAGAAACCCATCAGACCTACTTTGCAAGAGGTTAGTAAGTGAATACTTTCTAATCACCATTTACGGAATAAGCATGAATTTAATGACTTGAACTACAAGCAACCTGGCAGAGTGAAGTCTGAAGAAGCCGCTTTCATGGGAGGTCAGGGAGCGTGTCTGCCCTTCTCTGCTCCCTCCCAGCGCCCGGAACGGGAGCTGCCAGCAGGTCTATTCACTGAGTAGGTGAGTCCTATGACGTTTATTTAGCTTTATTCTGAGATACACGTAGGTGGAGTCACGTGCAGTTGTAAGACATAATCAGGCAGATCCTGTATGCAGTTTACCTCAGAGGCATCTTGGGTAGCCAGTGTGCTGGAAAGAAGGAAACTCCCCCCAAAGATAAGCTCTTTTAGAAGATGCTGCTGCCCTGGCCGGTGCGCTCAGCGGTTAGAGTGTCAGCCGGCCGACTGGAGGGTCTCGGGTTCCATTCAAGGTCAAGGGCACTTACCTGGGTTGCAGGTTCGATTCCCAGCCTAGGTGTGTGCGGGAGGCAACCAATCACTGTGTCTCTCTCACATTGATATTTCTCTCTCTCTCCCCCTCCCCCTCGCTTCCACTCTCTCTCTCTCTCTCTCTCTCTCTCTCTTCCCCTCCCCCTTGCTTCCACTATATCCAAAAAAAATAAAGAAAGAAAAAAGATGATGCTAGCTTTCCTTTTGTTTCTCACAGATGTGGGCAGCATGGTGTTCAGCGATCAGTAGCCTGAGTCCAGAGTCTTGCCCGGGCTGGGTGAAAGGCAGCCCCCACGGCGCATCCATCCCTGGGCTCCCTCTAGCAGGCTGCCTGACCTCTGCCACCAGGTGTGCCCTCGTCATGCAGATCACATGGTATCCCGTGAAGTACCTTCACCATGCCAGTCATAGAGGACTCTATAAACCTTAACACGTGAGCCCCGAGGCAAGTCATCACAATGTTACAATGACTATCGCTTAGTTTATATGTGATACGTGCGCCACTCCTGCATCTGTTTTAGACCTGCCAGCAGGTGAAGTGGCTCCACCCAGAGGGAGGCTGTCATACTTTTCCCCCCCCCCCCCCCCCCCCACTTCCCATACAGCCACTGGGACCAGGCAGCCGCCCCAAGGGCAGCTGGTCCACGGCCTGGCCATGAAGACTCTGAGGGCTCGCATTCACTCAGTAGAAATCTGAACTAGGAAATAAAGTAACTAAAGCAGCTACACGGAGGGATGTGACAAAGGGCTTCATGGAAAAAAGCCCCAGTTCAGTCCAGGCCAGGAGGGGGTGCTGATGTTCTTCCTTTGCCCCTCCAACTCCTGGCCACTCTCCGCCTTGACGCTGCCCAGGAGACTGGGCACCTTGCTTGGGAGAGAGATGAGGTCTTTTTTTGCCCTGCCTCCCGCCCATCTGGTTGTGACTGGCAGTGGTTCATTCTTCTCAGAAGGTCTCAGCCCCTCAGGGCAACTCCCCAGGAAAGCCCAGCCCTCTCCCCGTCCCCTGACTCCCTGCCGCAGCCTGTGGCATCCGGGTGACGCCCAGCGTGCTCCCAGCCTTCATCCTGTTCCCTTAGCCTGGCCTCACCTTTGACAGGAGTCTCTTACTAATCGGGTCTGGACTCTTTCTGATCTGCACCCTGAATGATAAAGGGGTCCTGGCAAACTGAAGCAGAAACCGGGAGTAAGTAGGTATCAGAAGGAAGAAGAAAAGGGGTGCATGTGTGGGTGTGCACGTGTGTGTGTACATGCACATGTGTGTGCCTGCATGGAAACAGAAACACGGGAAATCTGCCTCAATTCCTGACAGGTTTCCAATTAAAGCTGCATTTCCATATGCATATTTATATCATATGCATATTTATAATATTTATTCCTTTCTTTGTTTTCAATTAAAATATTAGCTTCTTGTTTTTGTCTAGTCTCTTACACTAATCTTTGCCATTACCTCTCAGAGACAGGCTCTTTCTGCCATTTTGTGGTTGGGGTTTTGCTGACGGTTACCCCATAACCAGATGATCACTTATGTCTAATTTCCTGATTTACTCATTAGAGATGCTATCTGCTGGCCTCACCATCTGAAAGATGAGGGTTAGCTCAGTCGACTTGACCTCACACTCTTCCTAATGATTTCGATTCACTATTTTTAAAATAATTTAATTGAGTGACCATTGTAACTATAAAAATATACTTATATGTCTGTATGGCCTATCAAATATGGACAGTATCTCTTCATCTCTATAAAATATGGACTTGGTACCTCTTCCCATCCCCCACAGCCTCTCTCCCCTTTCACGTTCATACTGTCGTTAACTACGCCTGTCGGTAATATTTACATCCTTTCCTGAATCCACAGCCGGCTTCCTAAGCCTTTTCATCAGTTGACGTTGAGAAGTTAACTACCATGAAAAGTGTTTAGATTTCTATGTCTACATCGCATTGCTCAGGGCTGAGTCGGATTGTCTGCCGGAATTCCATCCTCCCGCCTGGTGTGACTTGATCCTAGAGGGTCCCGTGTGTGAGGGGCACATGCCAGCGTCACGGTCAGATGGCATCTATTGTCTGACAGCTCGTCAGCTCTGGTGCTAATCACATGCCATGCTACAGCTGTTTCCCGTGCTGCCGTGACTTCCCTGTGCCGCTCTCGGTGCTGTCCTGGAAGTTTCTTGTTGCCTTTCTCAGTTCTTCCCTGGCGCAATGAGCCTTTCCCTGGTTTCTCAACCGCTTTCTTTCAGTAGATGATCCTTTCTTCCCAAGGATCCCCTCCTGGAGCCTTTGCGCCTGCTCCTCGATTCACCATTTTAAAAATAATTTAATTGAATGACCGTAGTAACTATAAAAATATCCTTATGTGTCTGGATGGCCTTCTATCAAGTATGGATAGTATCTCTTCATCTCATGTTCCTAACCTTTGTCATCTCCTTTCTTGGTTTCCTTTATTTTTCTGGACAATATCCTTAAATCACTGGCTAAGAAAGGGCTTTCTGAGTCCTTGCTCATCTGGAATCTTCTGCTCTTCTGCTGGCTGCTGGCTTGCAGGCTGGCGTGTAGGCTGGAGTGATTTCCTAGGAGCTGGGAGGTGCCCCCTTCTGGCAGTCTGCATTGCTGGAATGAGGTTGCAAGTAGATTGGATTCTTTTCCTTCGTAGGTGACAACCTTTTGTCTATTGACGGTTTGATATTTTCTCTCTGAAAATATCTTTATAAGGGTGTAGCTAGATTTGGGTCTTTTCTCCTTTATTGGCTGGATACTCGGTGGGTCTTTTAAATCCAAAGCCACGTACATCTCGACTGGAAAAGTCTCTGATTCACACCTGTATTTGTTTTCTCTCTCCTGATCATCTGGGTAGGTACTGGACCTCACCCATTGAGCCTCAATTTTGCTTTTCTTTTCCTGGACATATTTTGTCTGTGTTCTTAGTCCCTTTTTATGCTATGCTCTGGGGGATTTTTAACTTTATGTTTAGTCCTATTTAATTTCTAATTTTGGCATTCATATTGTTTAAATCTGAGAGCATTCTTATTTTCTGTGCTTTTTGCAGAGCACTTTATTCCTTATGGATGTACTATACTGACAGGCACAGAGTAAGAAAAACGGTCCCCCCCCCCATCCCCCGAGCCGAGGCACAGGAAGCCTGAGGATAACACCCGTCCTTCTCTCCAGTCGGTGGAAACGGACGCGTAGAAGACACTTTGATGGTTGGAAATCTGAGGGGGAGGGAAGGAATCTCTCTTCCTGCTCTCTCAGTGCGACAACTTCATGTGGAACCCGTTCTACGCTAGTGCAACACCCTCACACGCTCTCCTAGGCTTTTCTGATACCCAAGGACCCGTCTTGCCAAGATGCACAAAACCATGGAGACGAGGCCCAGACACTGAGAGCACTGAGGTCCTGAGGGTGCGGGGGGCCTGCCTCTAACCACCGAGCAAAACAAATGCTGATGCTATTTTCACTTTTCTCCTTGTTTTCTTAAAAGTCAAAGTCCTCTTCGGTTTTCTTTCTGTTTGTGAAAACAGGTACTAATGTAGGTCTTTTGTAGAAGTGAAGTGATGTAGCATGAACTTTTGAAAAGGGAATATATACATACATACATATACTGGTGTACATACACAGGCACACACATGCGCATATATGCATACACATGCACACAGGCACATACGTACACACACATGTACAAACGTGTGCACACATATAACGCCAACAGAACTTGCTGTTTCTATTCCAGCTCAATGGCAGGGCGTTTGGCGGACTCTGTAGCTGTTACTGTTGCTTCAGGGAACGAGGGGGCTCTGACGTGGACTTTTCTATCCTGGCGCAGAAGGACATTCTGGTGCATGGATTGCTGGGAACAGGGTGACTCTGCCACTGCCTGCAACAGTGTCATCTGTCTTTTTGATACAAACTCTCAAACAGATGGTATATTTCAATTTCAATAACTTTATTGGCAATGAGGAAATATGCAGGGACTGCCAGAAGTTAGACATCAAGTAG